CGTAAGGGCTGCGCCAGGCCCGCGCGCGGCCCGTACGGGCTGCGCCAGGCCCGCGCGCGGTCCAGGCAGCCCGCGCGCGGCTCGTCCGGCCTGCGCCAGGCCCGTGCGCGGCCCGGGCAGCCTGCCTCAGTGCTGCATGCCGTTCCCCGAGCTTTTGACGGCGCCCCACCCCTGCTGCTGCACGCGTTCCTGTGTTAGGGTTTGGGGGTGGAGAGTATGGGGGTGCCGTGTGTGTGAGCCGTCCCCTGCTCCTCCTCCTCCTCCTCCTCCGTCTCCCACTGCTGCAGCTGCCGCTGAGGGGGGTGGATGTGTTGGAGCCGTCGGAGTGGTACGAGGGGGGTGGCGTGTGAGCTGTGATAGTGGTTCAACAGGGAGTGTGTGAACGGGGTGTGGGACAGTTGGGGGAGGTTGACCGGAGGTAGCCGACTTGTCGTCCACAGCGCCTGAAGTCCAGGGAGCCACGACCCCCTGTGGCCTGAGTAATCCGGGGCTCTGCGCCCGGTAGCCACAGTGTGAGCACTCCTGGTAGTCCAGAGAGCCACGACCCCCTGTGGCCTGAGTAGTCCGGGGCTCTGTGCCCGGTAGCTACAGTGTGAGCACTCCTGGGAGCACAGTGAGCCAGCTGCATCTGTCGCCGTGTAGTCCGGGTTTAGCCTGGTAGCGACAGTGCTGCGCACTCCTGCTGCCCGTGTGTCTGCAGCTTCGGCCGTCGCCCCCCATCTTCTCGCCCCTACAGTTTCTCCTCCTCCTCACGTGCCCTCTGTGATAGCCTCTAGCTTTGCTTATAATTGTGGATTATTGCTCTGCCTGCTTGTTGTGTTGATTGTACCCCACTTTGACTATGGGGGTGTGTCAGAATGTGATGTTTGTCTAGCCTGCAGTGGGGTACTCTATAGCGAGTACAACCCCTCTAGGGTTCGCTATATGTATCCCTATGCGTGTTAGTGAAAATACTCTTTTGCCTATTTCTCGTTTTCGCCTAGCCTTCTGACACTTTTTGCTGCTGCCTTGGGCCTGCATGCACTTGCCTGCACATACCAGCCCACATCCAAGGCACAGCGACTCCTGTTGCTGCTGCCTTGTGCCTGCTTGCACTTGCATGCACACACCAGCCCACACCCAAGGCACAGCGACTCCTGTTGCTCTGCCCTGTCATGCCCTTCCCCGCCCTGCCCTGCCCTGTCTTGCCTCGTTCACAACCTTATCTGCTTGCTATATGCATTCCATGCCATGCCTAGAGGGGCCATGCCCTGCCCTGCTTTGTCAAGGCCCGCCCCGCCCTGGTTTGCTCCCAGGACATGAGTTGCCCTGTCCTGCCCTTCCCTGCCCTGGCCTGTACTGCCCCGTCCCGCCCTTGTCTGCAACCTCTATGCATGTCATGCCCTGCCTAGAGGGGCCATGCCCTGCCCTGCCTTGTTATGGCCCGCCCCACCCTGGTCTGCTCCATCCATACATGCCATGTCATGCCCTGCCCTGCCCTGCCCTGTCAGGCCCCGCCCCGCCCTTGTCCCCCCCACCCCAGGCAGGCCCTACCACTGCCCTGCCCTGCCGTTGTGAGCGGGAGGAGATTAGGTTTAGTGACAGGCACACCACCAGCAAATATGCCTTATCATCCTTCTCATTGGCGATGATTGCAGGTTACGCCTGTGAGAGGGATGTGGCTGAAACCCCATCGGATGTGGAAGAGTGGAGCGACAATAGTGATCAGTGGCGGGTAGAAGGCCGCTATGACGGGGAGGAGGTGGAGGTGTGGGTGGCAGGTCAGGATGAGTGAATGGTTTGTGTTTACATCACCACTTCGCTATTGTGGTCTTGAACATGCCATGCTTGAGGTGTTTTATTGGACTTTGTCGTTCTAGCCTAAACCTATATGTGATAGGATGGTAATAAGTTTGTACCAATCTGCATAGCGACCGCTTGAAGGGCCGCTTGCACATATTATAGTTGCAATAGACAATTTAGGCAGTTACACGTGCGACCCATATTAGCCCTGTGAACTGGCGCCGGTCCACCATGCATGCGACAAGTTATACCGTATTCTCCCGGATATAGGACCCTCCCGAAAAAAAGACTCCCGGGACTTTTGAACGGTACTGGGACTCTTAATATACAGCACATGTGAGAGGGCCCCCCTTTTGCTACAAAACATTTTATGACCCCCCTTTTCTGTATACAGTACAAAAATATGCGCGTCAGCTTTTAGAGGCACAAAATCCGAAATTTGACGGGTCATTTGTGTCAGAATCGGGTTCTGACACACCAATCGTGTCGGACACGAGATCTGACGTTTCTGACGCGCCGCTCGCGCAAATTTCGCGCACGCGAGATTTTTTCGGTTCGAACATAAGACCCCCCCCCCCCCCCCCCCCCCCCCCCCTTTCAAATTCAAGTGTACACCCCTAAATCGCATAAGTGTACTTGATTAATAAGTGTACCCAGGACTCTTACAACTCGTGCCGATTAAATGTTCACCCTAGTCATTTTGCCTCGATTTTAGGAAAGTCCCCCGGGTCTTATATCCGGGAGAATACGGTACTAATGCCAACCCCAGTAGCAATCAGTGCTGTCGCTATCTGCGTGGAGTTTTGCTCCTCATGCTTCTGTACGCATAAACATGGGAATACCATGCTTCTGTAAGAGCGGCAGGTCATCTGGGCCCACCTCCCCGAACAACAGCACCGGCCGCTGCTTACGAGCACACAGATTTCTTGAGTGGGTTGGGTGAGCAAGGGGAGAGATGATGGTGGGGCGGGAACTGTTTGTTGGAGAAGGACATGGTCAGGGGATGGAAGGGACGAGCGGCCGGGTGTAGGACTGCACCTCTCTCAACAGCAGTACCGTGCTGCTGCTGGCTGACGCACTCAGATCATGAGTGGGTTCGGGGGCAGGATGAGGAAGAAAGAGGGACCTGGAGGGAAGGGGGGATGGCAGTGGGAGAGGGACCTAGGAAGCGCAACAGACTCACGCCTCGCACATTGCGCCAGTCCCTCTGCAAGGCTTAACGGTCGTGCTCCTGGCAGGTGAGAGGGAAGGAGCAAGAACAGGAGGGAGTGGAGAGGCAAAGGGTGTGCGCGAGAGAGGAGGGGTGCATGGGAGGGAGGGGCAAGGCACATGGGGGAGGGACAGGAGAGATGATAGGATAGTGATACGGGGAGGGGCATATGGGGAAAGCCACTGCTCAACTGGTGTGTGACGCTCACCTCTCTGAGGGTGGGGGCAAGCAGGGCGGAGGGTGGGGGCAAGAAGGGAGGAGGGAGGGGGCGCCTAGGGAGGAGGGAGGGGGCAAGCAGAGAGGAGGGATTCGGTGTTCACGACTCCAATTTTGTCTCTCCCTCTCTGTCCCTACCCCTTTGTTTTCCCACTCCGTCCTTCCCCTTCGTTCTTGCCGCACCACTGTCCTTCCCCCTGTGTCTAAACCCACTGCGTCAGCCCAAACTGGCCTGTCTCCACATGTGTCCTTCTCCCTCTGTCTATCCCCTTATGTCCGCCACCCTATGCCTTCCCCCTGTGTCTCTCCCCCTCTGTCCTTCCGCCTCTCCCCCTTGTCCTTCAACCTCTAATTGCGAGAGAGAGAGAGAGAGAGAGAGAGAGAGAGAGAGAGAGAGAGAGAGAGAGAGAGAGAGAGAGAGAGAGAGAGAGAGAGAGAGAGAGAGAGAGAGAGAGAGAGAGAGAGAGAGAGAGAGAGAATTGCGGTCAGAAAATTGTGGACAATTAGTTCATTTTGTGGTCAGAAAATCGGCGCTCAGAGAGCGAGAGAGAGAGGACTTAGCCTCTTCCCTCTTCCCTCAGCCCTCTTCCCCTTAGTCCCCTAGCTATATAAAGGCCCCACGGGCCTTCATTCCCTCATTAGTTCATTCTGTGGTCAGAAAATCGGCGCTCGCGCCGGCGGCCTTCGGCCGCCGTCGCTCGCGTGTGCGGCCTGCGGCCGCGAGTTAGGAACGGCAAGGACAACAAAGCGCCTGCGCAACATTATAGCAAGGCGTACACACATGTCAACCATCGGCATTAACTAGGGCGTCACAATGCATAACGTATACGCGCGTAGGATCTTAGAGACTACATCTGATCCGCCTCTAGGGCGGCCAGGATCCCCGTCATGGTCCTCCACAGGGGGCGGAGCACCATTGTGCTTGCGCCGATCACATCAACTCCGTTCCCAGCGCGCAGGTGCGACCTCAGAACCCGGACGGCTTCTTCAACTTGTCCGACCGCTGCGCCACCCTGTGCGAACGCTGCCAGCACGGGCGCCACAAGCGTGGCAAGCTGCCCAGCTGCAGCCAAACAGTCAGCTCTCGCACGGGATCGAGAGTGTTCTCTCGGTTCGGGAGAATGGACGCGTGTGAATTCACCTGAATCAGTAGCAGGGCCCGCAGGCACTCCGCCAAGCGCCACATCTGCCCAAGAGTCGCCGTGGGCACTAGTACCTGCCGGGGAAAAGACCCCTCAACTAGATTACCAGGAGGAGCAGGATCAACGGGAACAAATTCAGCAACACGACGAGGAGGCACAAACGGGGCCCTCCCCGCTCCGCCTCCTGCCCCCACAAATTCCATACCGACCACGGGAGGGACCCACGGGAGGACCGGGTACGGATGCGCTGCCATCCTCTCATACACGGGCGCAAAGGCTGGCGGGGCGGCAGGAGGAGGCGCCAGAGGCACATGAGCCTGCTCGGCGGCAGGCGCGGGAGCAGGAGCAGCACCATGCGGGAGTCGTGAGCCAATCTGGCTCGACGACCCAAACTACGCGGAGCGCATGGCAGCGGCAAACATCCACAGGAGGTCAGCGCGCAGCTGCTGCACCTCCGTTGCGCCGCCTTGGCCGTGACCGGGACCTCCCCTCCAGCCACCACAGCCGCCACGATGAGCTGTACGGTACGAGGGCGAGGGGCGGCGACGAGGAGAACCACGCCCCCGATGAGACGTCACGTGGCCTCCTGCAGCAGCACGAGTCTCAGAGCCCGTGCGCTGACCGTTTGGAGCGGAGGGCGGCGCCGCCTGCTATGGCGGCGAAGGCTCAGGAAGCAACACGCGGGCAGGGTCGGAGCCGGCGCCCACCGTTGTCACCTGCGCCGACACCGCGACGACAGCCTGGGGAGGCTGCGCCACCGGCGACGGCTGAGCGGCAGACGGCAGAACGGACGTTGCGACAGCCGCTGGAAGAGACGCGGGAGGCTGCAAATGGTCCGCATGCAAGGACGGAGGCTTCGCCGCGCCGCCAACGTCGGCGGAATGCGCGAGCGCAGGAGTTGGCGGCTGAGCAGACGGAACAAGATACGATGCAGGGGCGAGAGCACTCTCCGCGGAATTCCCCACCGCGGCAGCAGGAGCAGCAGGGAGCTCCACCCCGGATTGCGCAGCCTCAGCAGCCATTGGATGCGACCGCGGGTGAGACGCGCGCCCCACTGACGCGGAGACAGAGAGCTTTGGCAAACACGCAAACACCACAGCAGACGGCGCGCACAGCACGCGGAGATCAGGAGGGCAGAAGGCGTAGCACAGACGAGACGAACGGGGGACCAACGAATGGATGCCAAAGGGCTGTGTTTCGGGCTTTAAATAGGCACGAAAGGGAGGCGACTAATGATGATGAAGAGGCGGGAGATGCGACTTATGTACAAGAGATTGTGGAAGATTCATCGACAGAAGGAAGTGCTGATGCAGAGGAGGAGAATCAGGATGGACGACTTCGAAGGAATTTCCCAACACCAAATCGAACCGCATCTCAAAATGTTGCTGCCAGGAGGGGAAATTCGCAAAACGTACCTGGACAAAACCCAACCGCTGACACTCCCCACCAATTTTCGCCAGAACAGCTGGCAAAGGACCAATCCCGTTTTGACGAAGTGGGAACCTGGGACCTGACCCCACTTTGCGACAGTCGCCAGCCCCCACTGTCAAGGAAACTCCCGCGAGACACCCGGCCCCAATTCGCTATGGCACTGCTAACTCCGCTGCTGCACCTCGCCAAGACCCCAGAGTCAGTCGCTGGATGGCGCCTTTTGCTTTTCATCCCGCGCTTGTTGCTGCGCCAGTCAAATCCCAAGAAACCGGATTGGCCAGCTGTTACAGCTCGACTCAACCAGTTCTTCGCAGGCGAATGGGGTGCCCTATATGCAGCAGCCCTGGACGCTGTCAATTCGCCACCTCCCCCTCGCCACCAACCTGACAACCTGGGCAGGCGCTCCCGAGCAGAGGGCTTGGCGCGAAGAGGAAGTCTGCGCAGAGCGGTGATAGCGTTGGAAGCGACACCAGTGGCTACAGCGTCGGCTGAGGTGCTGGATGCCCTGCGATCCAAGCACCCAATCCTGAACGAGGGTCCCATGACTGGACCACCAACCCCACTGTATCACCTCCCTCCATTGACAAGCCTGCATGTTCGAACACCTCAGAGACGCAGCCATCACCAATGAATCGGTCAACACCCACCTCCACGCCCTAATCAACACAATCATGCGTGGGTCCCTCCCAGCTGAAATCAACGACCTACTCACCTCGTCTAGGCTACTCGCCTTGGAAAAACCGGAAGGAAGCACCAGACCCATCGCCATCGGAGAATGCCTCCTCCGCCTTGCCGCCAAATCCGCCCTTTTCACCATAGCCGAGACTGCCCGCTCATTCTTTCTCCCGCTCCAGTTCGGTGTCGCTGTCCAAGGAGGCAGCGAAGCTATCATTCATGCAGCACGGGCTTACATGAGCACGAACCCTGACGCCCTCATCCTGCAGGCATATCTGGCAAACGCATTCAATAGTATCAACCGCGGCGCCATTGTCAAGGCCGTAAGGGGGATAGGCCTTGAAAGCCTACTACCACTAATCTCCCTCTCCTACGGAGCACCGTCCCAACTCTTCCTGGACGCCGACTTCCATAGTGAGCCGCTACTTAGCCAAACGGGCATACGCCAAGGCGACCCTCTCGGCCCCCTGCTATTCGCGGCAGGCATGCACCCGGCCCTCAGCACTACCGCAGCAGCCTACCCAACCGTCCTCTGCCTCGCATTCGCAGATGACGTCACCTTCCTTGGAGCAGCGGCGGATTGCGCGGCCGCGTTCAACCATTTCACGTCTCAACTGGCGGGGGTGGGGCTAACCCACAATCCCTCGAAGTGCTCAGCCTGGAGCCAGATTTTTTTTTTTTTTTTTTTTTTTTTTTTTGGGCTTTTAAGGAGATCCCCGGAGGAAACCTACCCCCCGTAGAGGATAGCCTGGAGCCAGAGCCCCCTGGACGAAAGCCTCTTACCCGCTGGCGTGCCATTTAAGGCGGACGGACTGCACGTTCTGGGCAGCCACATAGGCCCAGAGCATGGAGCGGCTACGTTCCTACGCGACCAGCTGGCCAAAATGGCCGCTCCGCTCCCCCTCATGGCAGAAATGGACCCACAGCTGGCCAACCTCCTACTCACCAGATGCATCTCGCGGCGTGTTTCGTACCTAGCCCGCACCACACCCCTCAACCTCCTACCTGAAGCTGAATGGTCCCGATGGGGCCAGGCGCAGCTCCTCACACTTCTAGATGCTTGCAATGTGCACCACCCGAGAGGAATCACGGAGGAGCGGCGTGTATGGGAACAAGCCTCCCTGCCGCCATCCCTCGGAGGGCTGGGCCTGACGGACCCCTTGGTCGAAGGCAGATATAGTTTTCTTGCCAGTTTTGTGCAAGCACAGAACCTCCTCGGCTCCCTACCAGGCCCCGCGGGCTACCACCTGACTGGCACATTGGCGCGACCGGCACCTGACAGCACAGACCAGCACCTGCTACAGAGATGGCTCCTTGAGTGCGAGGCTTCGTTGGGCGAAGAGGCCAGGGGGCTGCTGGCTGCTGAACAGACCGCCCCAGCCAACAGACTGCAGCACGGTTTGGCCCTCATCGTCCAGGGCAGCCGCTTCGCCGCGCAGCTAGTGGCCACAAGGCAGATGGAACTGAACCCGATGTCAGGCCATACGCAGCGACTGCTCTCCCTGACGGGGTATGGTGCAGGGGACTGGCTGCTTGCCATCCCCTACATGCCAGCCCTCCGCCTCAGCCCCGGCTAGGTCTGCCCCTCCCCGTACCTGACCACTGCGACTGCCGTTACAGGACCGCCATCCTGGATAAACGGCTTACCAACCACCTTCTTCGCTGCGGTACAGGACACGGAAGGACTGACAAACACAACGGAATTAGAGATGAATGTGTGCGCATGGCACAGGACGCGGGCTTCACAGTGCACAAGGAGACAACGACATTTTGCCCAGTAGACAAGCAAAAGGCGGACCTGGCAATCCGAGACCGTACCTCGGGAGCGGTACACTTGTGTGACGTCACAGTCACTGACCCAATCAGCAGCCGCGACGAGAACGCCACCAAGGGACGGGGCTGGATGGCGCGGGAGATGGCGGACAAAACCCTACAGAACACGCCTTCCCTGGGTGGGTTTCTTCCCTTTGGCGGTGGAGACCTACGGGTGCCCCTGCGAGGAAGTCCCCACCTTCCTCAAGATGCTGGCCGACACAGCAGCACGCACCCTCTTCAACGCGGACTTGACATCCTACCAAGCGACAAAAATGCTGCATCAGTACCGGCAGCGATGGTCCGTGGCCCTGCAGCGAGGGCAGGCCCTGAGTTACCTCAAAAAGCTGAATTTGGCGGCGCGGGCAGAGAACCCGCCGGTAGGGGGACCAGAAGGGGTGCTACACCCAGGGGGCTGCTTTGCTACCCTGGAGGAATAGATAGCATATGGGGGTGGTTTTGTCTGCGATAGTACTTACTCACATAGTCTCCACTTACCTTGAGTGTACCCCTACTTTCTACATAAATGAAAGGACCGTTCGAGAGAGAGAGGGGTGGGAAGGAAGGAGTGCAGAGAGTCGGAGAGGAAGAGGGAGAAAGTGAGGGAGAGACGGAAGAAGGGAGAGGGAAAAAGGGAAAGTCGTTATTAAGGATTGGGCTAAATAGCAAAAAAGGGAGGGGGAGAGGGAAGGGAGGGAGAAAGGCAAGAGAGCGAGATAGGGAAGAGGTGGAGAGGGAGAGAGGGACAGAGGAATAAAGGTAGATAGCAAGGTAGGGAGAGACGGAGGGAGAGAGGAAGAGAGGGGAGAGGGAGGGATGGAGGGAGGAAGATGGGAGGTGGAAACAAATGGACGAGAGATCGGAAGACAAGGTGGAAAGGTGGGAAGGCAGGAAAGGAAGACAAAGCAAGCGAGGCATGCAGGGGGGAAGACCAGAAAAGGAAAGGAAGAAGGGGAACAGAGGGGAACGATGGGAAATGGAGGGGAATGGAGTGGGCACTCACCTTGTGATGGGAGGCTAGGTTTAATTCTGCAGAAGGCAAACGGAAAAGGGCAAGAAGCTTACCCTCTTCCCCTCTATCCCTCCCCATCTCTCCCTCCCCTCCTGACCATCTCCCTTTGTCCATCCCCCTCTGCCCTTCCTCCCCTCTGCCCCTCCCCCTCTGTCCCTCCACTTCTGTCCCTTCCCCCCTCTGTCCCTCCCCCCGTCTGTCCCTCCACCCCTGTCTCTCCCCCTCTGCCCCATCCCCTCGGAAAGAACGAGTCAGAAAGGACGGGTTGAGAGAGAGAGAGAGAGAGAGAGAGAGAGAGAGAGAGAGAGAGAGAGAGAGAGAGAGAGAGAGAGAGAGAGAGAGAGAGAGAGAGAGAGAGAGAGAGAGAGAGAGAGAGAGAGAGAGAGAGAGAGAGAGAGAGAAAACGGGGGAAGAAGAGCGAGTGAGAGGAGTAAGTGAGTAGGAGAAAGGGAGAGAAGAGAAGAACGAGAGAGATGGGGAGAGGGTAGATGGAGGGTGGAAGGAGGGATATATTTGGGTTGCACGGAGGGAGGTCTGTGGGGGGGATTGAAAGCAGTTTGTGGGGTCGAAGGTGGGTGGTGCGTGTGGAAGATCGAGGTGGGTATGTGGGGAGGCGGACAAGTGTTGGGACCGTGGCAGGTGGTGTGTGGGGGAGAAAGGAGGCGGACAAGTGGGAAAAATGCAGGTGGTGTGTGGGGGAGAAAGGAGGCGGACAAGTGGGGAAAATGCAGGTGGTGTGTGGGGGAGAAAGAGTTGTGTGATGCTATCATTCGCATTCACGTCTGTCTGCCTCCCATCATATTTTCGTGCGTTGCATGCGTGGTGTGAGTGTGTGCAAGAATTTGTGTTTCGTGTGGTTTGGATTTTCTGAGCATGCGTGAATGTTTTTTGGCTTGAGCAGATACCTGAAGTGACTCCTCTGCTCAAGAGCTTTCCAACGAACCAAGAATCGTCGCGATCGGAGCACGGATGAGAAAGTTACGAACGTTCGAAGTTCGTATGCCTTTCACATTTAATTGCGGCGACTTTGGGAATTTGTGGAGTGACTCTAAATGGGGTATAGACTTTTGGGGGTTGGGAAAATTCGTCACT